TATTTGCAGGGGGCTTTAAAATGTTAATAAATTGTAAATTTATTTGGAGAAACTACTTCTTGTTTTCAGTGAAAATCCAGCTGGTGTTTTATGGTTCTTATCTTCAGAAGTATTTACTATATTGTATTCTATTTGTTTTATTACTTTTATTTTAGTATTATTACTTTCCTTATATTATTACAGTTAATGTAACAGATCTCCTTTGTAAATGAGACTGTTTTTCTGAGAAAATTCTTTGCATAAATAAAGAATGAAATAAAATAAAACCATAAATTTGATTCAATTCAACTTGTTTTTGTTGCCCCAGTTCACATCAATGGATGCATCTATGTTCTGCACAAAGAAAACCAAGCAGATCCGGTTCTGATCAGTTTATTAAATCATGTCATTTCAAGATCATATCAAAATTGATGACAGTTTTTCTTCTGCTCACTGCTTCGATGGAGCTGAAACACACCAGAAAACTCAGTCTATCGTGTTCTTTGGTGTGTTTATAAAAGACACTGTGACTAACTGAAGTGAAAGAGAAGCCAGAGGAGAGATGGCTTCAAACATAAACAAACCAGCCTTGAAGAAGAGCAGAGGCAAGCTTGGAGCGACAACATGACATTTGGGAGCTTCTCCATTAATATGAATTCAGTTTTACTTTCTCTATCTCTGGGATTTTCTATGCCTCTGCTTCATATCTAAAGGACAAACTACCAAAATAAATGTGCCTCTGTTGAGTCCTATCATCCTTTTTCTCTTCCTACTTTCATCCTGTTGTAATGAAGCGCATCCATCCCATCATCAAACCCCACCTTGCCACCTCCAAAGGTCACCCTAAGCTGGAGTAGATCGATGCTTTCAGAACAGGAAGGGCAGATGAGAAAACAGGATGGAGGAAGAGAATGATTGAGTGACAGCCTTGGTATGATGGAGGGATGGAAGGTGAAGGAGGAGATGGACTCGAGATAGATTTGAAGGGAAAGGAGGGAGCGAGAAATTAAAAGCCCTACTTCAGCATTCCTGCACGTCTCTGCAGGAGGAGGAGAGGGTGAGAGAATAGGGAGGAGATGATAAATGGGGAGAAATAAATTAAAAGAACACAGGGGAGCTGTGGCTGAGGGATGGGAGGAAGGAGAAACAGGGACGGAGAAAACGAGGAGCAGAAAAAAGTGTCAGTTTAATTGAAATCATTATTGATAATGTGTGCTTTACATGACAGGAGGACAGTGTGCAGATATGGATGATGCAGTCCTAACTTTCAACATTATTTAAATTATATGTTAGGATCTAAAACTTAAGCGTCTTTAAAGAAACATGACAGAATCCTGCTTGCATCACTGCGCTTTGCAGCTCATCTCCTCCAGAACCAAGAGCACTCCACATAGAAGAGGCAGCCGAAGATCACAGATCCCAATGCAAGGTGAGTAACTTGGCAGAGGAATCTGCATTATATGGACTAATTCATCAAAAGCCTTAGTTCTGCAGACAAGCCCCATTTTTTACAGTCTATCCTGTTCCTCAGTATAACACTGGCAGCTTACAGCAGAGGCATAAAGGTGCAGCTCCAGCCCTGCATGCCTCTGCTTTTTAAAGAATATCGATATCAGCGCAGACTGTGGGCTGCAGCAGCTACATAGTCAATAATTCAACAACCAGACTCACAGCTGAGAAATTTAAGACCTCCATTGTCTGAGTGCTTACATCACACTAGTGTTCACATGTGGCTTTTTTAATTCTCCTTATTACACTAATCTTTGTGCATTAATGTCTGTCCCTCATCTCTCTTTGTTTCCAAAACACAGCTATGTTATCTGCCCCCTTTTACTGTTTTTGTTTTAGTTCCTAGGTCAGTCCTCTTACAGACCAGTCTGACTAAAGACAGAGAGATATTCTATTATCTGAAGATGCACAAGGTAGAGAACAGTTGACTTGTCAATAAAAACTGAAGGGCTGAACAATAAGACCTGGGATTCACTGTGCTATTTTTTCAATGTTTGCTCAGAGCCCCAACTCAAATTTGTACGAATTCAACAGTTCATAGCTTGCAATTTATGCTGTCACACTGTATGAACCAACACTCAGATGCATCTGACTACTCAATACCCCGGGTATCCCGGGATGCAACACAATAAATAGAGGTAGAAGAAGAAGAAACTTCCGTTGTTGTTTCAAGCATGAGCAATGTGGAAAATCCCAGAGGAAAGAGTTCTCAGTCTGGTTGTATCATTGCTTTAACATGCAAATCACCCATGATTTCAATCAGCTGATCAGTCAAGTGAGGTAAACATTCACTAAGTGAGAAATGATTTTACATACGTGTTTCCCTTTCCTCTTATGCTCATTTAACTTTTTATTTTTTCAAAAGAGTCAAAAAGCATTGCAAACGACCATGCAAACCATTTAAAGTTTGATGTTTCCCTCATGCTCATCTAATGCGATACTTCAAAAAAAACGTCTAGGTGTAGAAAAAAGGCTTAAGAATTCGTGTTGATTTGGAACATAGCAAACATGGAGGAAGATTCCAGATGAGACAGAAATTCAACTTCTTGGCCTTAAATTAACTCAGTGGATCCCAATCTTTTCTTGCTTAACCCTCGTTTGGACTTAAATCAAAGCCTTAGTCAAAGCCCTTATAAATAGACTGAGAATCAGGGACAGGATTTGAAAACTAAAGCCCACTAATGCTCTACATTGAATTTCAAGTGGAGCAATTTCACCCAATTGTTCCAAACCCTTAAAGCCAAAACCAATATAAACTGTTTTTAGTTTTTCTTCCACTTCACAATTATGCAAAACTTTTTAATCGCTTTGTAGCTTTTAGTTGCTGTTTGGGAAATGTTGAACAGCTTCGAGGAGCGTTGCTGCTGCAGAGTTTATCCTGATGTTAAAGACTAATGAGCGAGATATTCATTGAACACAAAATCTGAATCATCATTATCAGAGTAAGGAGGGCAAGAGCTTCCTTATTGGAAGGGATTTTATACTTTGGCTCAACAGAGCAGAAAATCAACTTGTGGAATAAAACAGCTGAGTCACAAAATTCGATTAAAGAAAAAAACCAAAAACAAATCAGCAGTCAACAACTAGCCTCAATGGATAGAAAAACCTACAAATCAGTTTCTTCAGCCTTGTAGTTTCTACATCAATGAGTCTAAAGAAGCCATTTAACTAGGGGTGAAACAATTAATCATGATTAATCAATAATTTAAATAATCACCAACTAATTAGCAATCGATTAATCATTAACCGGAGTATAGAGACTCTAAAACATGGCTTTAGCTGACAGAGCGACCCACTTCTACGAGTAATTATGCCAAAATTGTAAAATAAATATTTATATATACATTTTTTAGTCGATCTATCCAGAACTCATCAAGTGGGAAAGTTTTTACTTCAACTGGTTTAAATTCTGTAAAAAATCTTCTTTAAGGAACATTTTGCTACCCAAATATTAAATGATTGTTAGTTACAGCTCTACATTTGACATCCACAGACAGTTTTGGACGATAAGTATAACGAGGATGTGAAATTAAGTGATCCAGATATCAGTATTCTAACGTTCACATAATCTATGATGCATTGATCATATTTGGGACTCCAACACTTACAGAGGCAGTGCAGATCGAATCAGTTGTTCCCCGAATAACCTTGGTGTTTTTCACCCTTTACACTAAAATTCACCATAAAAGAGAGACTGTCTTGGATGCTGCAGTTATCTTCATCAGGTGACCTGCTACAGATGCTGTAAAGGTAACCAATAGCAGCTGAAACCCTAATTTGTTTAATTTTAAAGCAAAGCACTGACCCAATGTCACAGAAGGACCACTGCTTCTGGAATTTTTGTCAGCTCAATGCAAACTAAACCCAATCAGAAAGATGTTGTGAGCTGAAATATTAAATAGTGAAATAAAACCTTTTTGTCATTATTTATGGACTTTAATCTTTTATTTTCAGACCCAGAAAATCTGGTAAAGAGTGTGAATGAAAGGGATGAAATTACCAGGATCCTCTGAATTAAAACATTGTCCAAATCTTTGTTGGGAGGATGTTTAAATACCCAGTGATGGGAGGAGTTTATTACACATTTATAACATTGAAACTAGCGCTGCTGTTGCTTAAACTACAAGCTTAGTTCGATGGAAGATGGCTAATAGGGATAAAATAACAAAAACATGCATCCCTCTCAGCTGCCCTGCAGCCAAACACAAGATAAAACCTTCTGAGTGTATTGAAGGAACAAACAGTTCAACAGGACAAAAGCAAACAAACCCAGATCAGCTGCCAGAAACCTAACCAGCCATCCAAATCTAACCCACATCAGGGGCCTCAGCCGGGGCCATCAGGCCATTAGAGGTTATGGGAAAGAGATGTCAAGTGGAAAGAAATTAAACAGAGACATTTTCTTCAGTTCAAAAAGATTATGATGATCAGAAGGGAAAGCAGAAAAAGGCATGAAGCTCAAGCAGATCATAACATCAGTTTGGTTTGGATTATTTTCGCTGCAGCTCCTCGGCACATTTTCCCCCTTTGGTTTTCACAAAAGTGTTTTTCTAAAACACACTTGGTTTAGTTACAAATTCCCCCAAGCAGTTTTAGAGGCAGAAATGAAGTGAACACCAGATGAGATAAAAGCCTGAATGCCCCCGAGGCTCTGAGGCAAAACAGGCACCACAGACCTAAATGAAAAGGCCCATAGATCAGGATCCTCATGAACCCTGGTTGCTCAAATGACAATCTGAGATCTGATCTCAAATAGATGTTGAACTTTACTCACATAATAAAATTAAACAGGAAGAAGTCTATAAATGACTCTAAAGAAATCAGTTCTTTACCAAAACACTTGGCAAATCACCAGTCATATGTCATATTGCCTGACCTTTATGAACTAAATGGATGGGCAGGGCTTAAACGAGAGGAGATTAAGGACAGTGGGACTGAAAAAAATATACAGCTTGTGTATAACTTAAAGCAGGAGTTGTTTCTCTGGACCAGCTGAAACAATTTAATCCTACCTTGTCCATCTCCTGCTGCAGGACCTGTTTAGCGACCTCCAGGTCCTGCAGCCGGACTCTGAGCTCTTCATTCTCCTGCTCCAGGCGGCCCCTTTTCTTCTCCACGCTGTCCAGCTGGCTATGGATACGAATGGAGACGTCCTTTGCCACCTAAAGAAAGAAGAAAAGGAGAACTTAGCAGACTGAGCTACTAAAACTGCAAAGATGTAGCTTATCTTACTTTTATAATACCAACAATCTTTCTGACATAATTTGCCTTACTAATACCATTTCATAAGCAATAAAAGCAAAAGGACAGTAAGTAATCTACTGATTGTTGCAAAATAAAGGAGGTGGCTAAATTGTGTTTTGTTGATATTTCAAACTGACAATAAAAATATCCATAGAGACTAGGGCTGTAACTAATGATTATTTTGCAAATTGATTAATCTGCAGATTATTTTTTCGATTAAATGATTAATAATGGGATAGCCAAAGGTTCCATAAAGAAGATATTTTACATAAATTAAACCAGGTGAAACTAAAACATTTCCACTTGAGGAGTTCTGGATAGAGCATATTGACAGACAAACAACTTTTTTTCTTAAATGCTAAATGTTTATACATATTAGGGTTGAAGCCAATGATTGTTTAGCAAATCGATTAATCTGTTGATTATTTTTTCGATTAATTATCGGATAGCAAAATGTTCCTTAAAGAAGATTTTTTTTCTCCAAAATAAACCAGGTTTATTTTGGATATAGGACTGGACAGGTAAAAACTAGCGTTGCACCGATAGCGTTACCAGTATTGGACAGGGCTCTGATACTGCACTAAAATGGTGGTATTGGCTTCAGCGAGTACCAACAAAGAGGGCACCGATACAATTTTGAGAGCCAAAAGTTTATTCAACTATTGTCACCCATTCCAGGTAGGCAATAAGAAGTTCTACTGGATTCACTTTGTTTTAGTTTTTTTCCTGCTTCACAAAGGTAGGCAGCAGCTTGACAAAGCCATGATGGCAATTATTTTACATCCAAGTAGTATGCAGTTCTTCATATACAGTATACACACACACACACACACACATCAATTTCAAACACATGGTATCAGTATGGTACCGGTATCGGTCGATACTGCATAGCCAGGTATCGGGTATTAGCCAAAAAAGGCATTGGCGCAACACTAGCAATACAAATGTTTTTAAGCTTAAATGCAAAATGTGTTGATATAATTACACCTCTTAGTGGGTAGCACTGACAGCTAAAAGCATACTTCACAGTTGTTATACTCCAGCTAACAATAAACTGATTACTATATTTAGTCTAAATTAGTTGACGATTATTTCAATAATTGAATAATCCAATTAATTGTTTAAGCCATAATAGAAAATTACTATTAGCACTTGTTTATGGCTGATCCAGATCTCTGGCTGTCTTTAAGGTCTGATCAGCTCATTTCATGCTGATTGTGAAGGATTCTGACTACAAAGCATAACAGAGATTTGAATCATTGGTATTTTAAAACAAAAAAAGAGAAACATTTTCTTAAAGAAGAAAAAACACATCAAATTCTTGGATTTTTAAGATTGTGTTCATATAATGAACAACTAAAGAGAACTCATAAGAACCAATTCAAAAATGTTTTCATTCACTTTTATACAAAATCACTTGATTGATCATCAAAGAAACCTAAATGGTGTAAACAATAATGCATGTTTCTTGGATCAGTTTTTTTTTTTTTTTTGGTAGAAGCTGACTACCATGGGCAGGAGTGATCTCCTGTAGGGGTCAGTATTACATCCTGCCTGAAGAGGCCCCTGACTAAAGACACTCTTTTTTTGTTTGTTTTATAACATTATGATGAGGAGGATGCTCAGGGGTGCCCATTTCATTTTTTCAAATTATCCTTCTACCAACAATTATCTCTACTGAACAGAGCCTGACTGGATCTGTTGCTGCTACTGAAAAGATGGTGGACTTATGATATATAGGCAAAAAAAGATTGCTGCTACAGTATGAGTATAGAACAGAAGAGAACAGAAAGGACCTTTTATATCTATAAGCTTTCATTACATCCGATCGCTCATGTGATCACCCATTAATTAAATAAAAACTGTATTCATGAGGACACTAAATGCATAAAATTATTTATTTTTCAATAAATTGGACTAGTTTTTGGTTTAGTCAGTTTTATTTTCTATAAGTTCATAAAGGGGAATTTGTCCCCATCTATTAAACCCCTAAAAGTCTCAGGAGGGTTCTGGTATTTTATACCCAAATTGCTCCCATGAAAGTCTGATTGAAAGTCAAGGGCAGCTGTTCATTAAAAGTTTCTAAAGTCAAACAGTGAAACTAAAGTCAACTGCTTCATGTCTGCACTACGGCCTCCAGCCAGATGTAATCTTTCTCTCATCTTTACTTTAGTCTACTTAAAACCATAACAATAAAATTACAGACTGTCTGGTTCAAAACCATGGTCAGCCAACCACGCATAAGTCAATACACCATTAAATCACATCACAGCAGATTTGAATCTATTTTAAACTGCACTTGGTTAAACAAAGCACGTAAAACCAGTGGGGGAGAAAACCACGTGTGAGTCCATGTGTTTCTAAAAGGGGACCTTTAAACATTTCACAACAGAAAAGCTAGGATGGAGGTGTGCAACTGAAAGGGTTAACAATGTAGCTTCATATAAATATCCCATAATCTGGTTTCATACGACATATTAAACTGGAAAAAACATTTTAAAGAATGACTTCAATCTATTAAACAAATGCATGAATAAGCACTTCAGCTGTTTACAGTAGAAGACATGGGTACATTAAAAAAGAAAAGATTTACTAAAGCAGGAGGACACTAAAAATGACCCCACTGCACCAGTCCACCCCCCTCACACAGCAGTCTCACTGTCCTAAACTATGTGAAGATCATGGGACCACAGCAAATTTAGGTAACCTCATTGGGGTTTCAGGCCATTTATGATACTTCTAAACTCTTTATACACGGCATTAGTTTTTTTCCTGCTTCTTTCCCATCCGTTCTGCCACTGTGGGTATCACATTAGGTCACAATCTTAAGTATACCTCTAGATCATTGAGATGTTTCTGCACCTCCACCATCAGTTTATAGCCTTTACACCATCCGCAGATGTGCATCACATATCACCCCCGACAGCAGTGTGTTCAGAGCTTGAGAGGAAATAGGAGGAGGTATGTTTTTTTTCCACACATGCTGCATTCCCAGAGGAAAATGTTTCTACTCAAAGCTTGCTCTTCTTTAGCTCATGAGACAGATTTAAGTTCATCTCAGCCTCAGTATAGTTAAAATTTTGTCTGAAGTGTTTCTCATGTGTTTCCCATAAAATTGATAGGAGAAATAAGGTCAGACGTGGGCTGCATGGTGGTGCAGTTTGTATCACTGTTGTCTTACAGCAAGAAGGGTCCAGAATGGATTCCCACCCCAGGATCTTTGTGCAAGGAGTTTGCATGTTCTCTCCGTGCATGCATGGGTTCTCTCCGGGTACTCCTTTCACAGTCCAAAAACATGACCACTAGGTTAAGTGGCTTCTTTAAATTGTCCGGTGAGTTTGTGTGTGCGTGGTTGTGTGTCTTTGTGTGTCTCTGTGTTGCCCTGAGACAAACTGGCGATCTGTCCAGGCTGTACCCTGCCTCTCCCCTATAGAATGCCAGAGATAGGAACCGGCCTCACCTAGACTCTGATGGAATAAGCTGGAGATGATGGATGGATGGAAGGTGCAATGTTAACATTACAGTATAGAAGTCAAAGTTGAGATTTATAGTAGGTACCTTGCAAAACCTGAATATACCCATTCACACACACACACACACTCGCTTACCACACACCATAATGGCAAACCACATTAAAGCCACAGCTGCCCTGGAGTTCACTGATACAAGCGTAGCTGCCGTACACCACCAACACTGGTTCCTCTGACAAGCATCAGTTCTCTTCACGTGCAATTTAAGTCACATTTCCAAGGACATAATGACAATGAAAGATGGAGGAAGGCAAACTCCTGCATCCGATGCCACGGTCGCCCAACTGAGTAATATCTAAAGAAAATCCTGGATATATAAATGGAGAGACTGCCCCCACTTTGGTGATCTACAGCTATCTGTATTTCAGAGTCGCATACTGTTTTGAAGGTGGCGTCAATTCTAGGAATGTTGTGTTTAATGATTTCCAAAAAGGACATAAAATATGTGATGAGACTAGATGTAGTTCATAGAGAGCTCTCTGATTTATCTGCTTCAGATCACAAGGAGACACAAAAGTTGAGGAAGTCTGAGAATTAACTTTGAGCTTGAGATCTTTTCTGAAACTTGAAAGGAAACCAAATGGAGCTTTAGTACATCTTATTGCTCCAGAGGAAAAAAACTGAGACACAGGAGAAATAAACCTTAGTCTCATTTTGGTGTCTCACAGATCTCATAGTTGTCTAGGAGAACTACATGAAACATTTTGGAGATCTCATTTCAGATTTTCCTTTCCTCTGGGTTTGACCAAGCCTGATATCTTGTGCAGTGATTTAAAGACGGCACAGCGATCCCTCCACAGAAATCTAATAGAAAATGGAAATGATCTCCATAAGTCACGTGATATAACTTGAAAATAGGATTACGGATGCTATATAACCTGCTTTGTTCTCCCAGTGCATGCCCTATACGGATTTTAGTGGCATAAAAATATTCTATTCAGTTTGCAGTAATATTCCATAGAGAGCATAGCATCACCTAAGCTTTATGCACAGGAAGCCTGATAACTACTTGTTTGGAAATCCATTTTTTTTTTTTTTTTGCCTTTGTTTTCAAACAGAGCAGCAGTATCAGGTTCTGTGCATAGAGACCTCACCAGCAGTACTTTAAATTATTAGTGCTGACAGACAAATTTGGCTCCTAATTCAACAGAATTCATTCCAAAGTAGAAGAAAAACGTATCATTACCCAGGTCTCAGATATGCGGCTAACACTAAAATAACCCTAATTAACTTCCTATGGATGTTTTAAGGAGGCTCCAAATGATCCAGATTCTCTGGATTTTTTTTTTCCTAATCCTACATGACCGTTCCGGATCTTTGAAAACCCATCCAGGTTCTGGACGATCTATAGAATTGTTGCGCCATCTTACTGTTATGCCATCTATACC